GGACCTTCCAGTGTGACAGGATGTGGAGGTGGAAGTCAGTGAAATTGATAATCATTAGCTAGTATAGGCCTAAGCTAAGGTGAGTGTTTGTGTCTTGTTTTTTTGACAAAAAGCTTCAACAGTAAAAAATGAAATAAAAAATTCTTAAAATAGAAAAAAGTTTATAAAATAAGGATATCAAGAAAGAAAATATTTTTGTATAGTTGTACAATGTGTTTCAAGTAAAAGTATCATCACAAAAGAGTCAAAAAGTTTAAAAAGTTGAGTTTCGTAAGTAAAAATGTAAGCTAGGGATACTTTATTTTTTCAAGAGAAAGTTCTGAAAATAAATTTAGGTTTCTCAAGTCTATAGTGCCATACAGTGTTTTAGGCCTTCACATTCACTCACTACTCACTCACTGACTCATAGCAATTTCACATCTGCTAGCTCCATTCACGCTAAGTACCTCATACAGGTATACTGTTTATCTTTTGTATCCTATTTTTACTATACTTTCTCTGTGTCTAGATATATTCAGACACATAAATACCATTATTTAATGATTTTCCACAGTACTCAGTACAGCAACATGCTGTACAGGTTTGCAGAGTAGGAGCAACAGGCTACACCATAAAGCCTATGTGTGTAATAAGCTACTACATCTAGCTGTGCATAACACTTTATAAAGTTCTCCCAAGGACAAAACTGTCCAATGATCCATTTTTCAGAACATATCCCTACTGTTAAGCAACACATAACTGTAATGGAAAAGTTCTTATTGCCTGGTGGTGTCATGGCCATTCTAGCCACTGTAATGTTGTAGTGGAACACATCATTCACGTATTTGTGGCGATGCTGCTATAAACAAACTTACTGTGCTGCCAGTTATTCAAAGTACAGCACATACAATGAGGGACAGTACATAATGCGTGCTCACAAATGACTTATTGGTTTTTGTATTTACTAATATTTTTATTAAATGATTTTTTACTTAGTAAATATTTTCTTTTATTTATTAAATGATATTTTCATCATTATTTTAAAACATATTGTTCCTATTTATGTAGGAAAATTTACTGTATGCTGCATTACGTCTTCAGCAGCCTCACACATCTCATGTTTACTCTGCCTCTTGACTGTATCAAGAGGTCACACTGAGTGACTAACCTACCAGCACTAGGTATATGTAAGTAAACTCTATGATGTTTGCACAATGATGAGGCTGCCTAGTGATGCATTTCTCAGAACATATCCCCATCATTTTGCAATACATAACTGTGTTCTGTCCCTCACCTGTCACTTAGGACTTCCTTCTACCAGGCGTCTCCCTGGCACCGATATTTAGGTCCTTCACTGGGATACACATTGGAGACCACAAAACAAGAAGCAAAATGTAACTAACATCTTGAAATACTATTTCTACAGATAAGTAATAAGTACTTGATGGTAGAGTTCTGATCATTTAATTTTGTTTTTATCATATAAGGTAGAAAGAAAATTTTTCTCTTTAAAACTGTGATCTTTGGGGGCCAGTACTGTAGTGTAGTAGGCTACTCCTTTGCCTGCAGCACCAGCATCCCATATGGGTGCCAGCTTGTGTCCCAGCTGTTCCTCTTCAGATCCAGCTCTCTGCTATCACCTGGGAAAGCAGGGGAAGATGGTCCAAGTCCTTGGGACCCTGCACCCACATGGGAGATCCGGAAGAACTCCTGGCTCCTGGCTTCAGATCGGCCCAGCTCTGGCTGTTGCAGCCATTTGGGCAATGAGTCAGCGGATGGAAGATCTTTCTCTCTGTCTCTATCTAACTCTACCTCTCAAATAAATAAAATCTTTAATAAATAATCCTTATAAACAATTTAATTTAAGTCAAACTTTTCTTTTTTCCCATATGTAACATAGCCTGTTTCATTACAAGTTCTTTGAATCCACCTCTCTTAAATAAAACTCATATAACTAGAGAATGTATACAAATATCACTAACAATAAAAAGCCATATTCTCAGATATTTATAAATGCTCAACTTATTTAAACCATAAAACTGATTAAACATTTATAATAAATAAGTGCCTCAAATTTCCCAAATAGGTATTAACAAATTTTTTGCATAAAGGCTTCCCAGAAGGATATTTATTTTTTAAAAATGACTCATTTCATACATTTCCCTCCTCTACACCCTACTCAAAAGTGGTCTTAGTGTAGCCCTCTGAGAATATGCATAATCTAAGATGTAAAGCAGATAGACAGAAGGGCAGATTAGCAATTAGGTCATGAAAAACAGGCAGCATAAAATAGCTATGGCTAATCTACATGAGATGCATTTACTCAATTAAGTAGATGGAAATGTTATTATGAACTCAGTATTCCAATGATGGTCTGTAAAATTAAGAAGCATAGGGGCAAATGAAATGCTCGCTGGGGGATTTTGGACCTTTACGTATTAATTCTAAAGTATACAGTGTAAAACCCTTAATGAAGTTAACAAAATTAATTAAAAGATTCTTTGCATGTAACCATTGGAGATGACATTAAAAAATACATGATAGTTTCCAACATTTTAACAGTGAATGTGACTGTTTTTTAACATTCTTAATATTGTTACCTTTTCTAAATACACCATTGACATAAAAATATGAGAGATGATTTTATGACTCAGTCTATTAAGTACTGTTTTAATATGCTTTCTGGTATTTACTAATTCCATTCTGAGTTCAGTAACTGATAGGCTAATGACACTGCTAACAAAGGCTGGTCCCCAGAAATTGATTTATTTTTAAATTTGTGTTCTATATAGTCTTTTTTCTATTAGATAATAGCAAATTAGGGGGCAGGTGTTGTGGCGTAGAGGTTAAAGCCACCACCTGTGACACGGACATCCCATACAGGTGCCAGCTTGTGTCCCAGCTGCTCAACTTCTGAACCAACTCTCTCCTAATGGCCTGGGAAAAGCAGAAGATAGTTCAGGTATTTGGACCCTTGCCACCCACATGGGAGACCTGGATGAAACTCTTGACTCCTGGCTTCAATCTGGCTCAGTCCTGGCCATTGAGGCCACCTGGGGAGTGAACCAGCAATGGAAGATCCCCCCCACCCCACCCCAACTGGTAACTCTGACTTTGAAATAAATAAATACATCTTTTAAGAAAGCAGCAAATTTTGAGAGAGTGATCACAAACTTCAATAGAAGTTTTTGCATTGTGATAAATACTTTATGTTTAACCCCCATTTTCAAAAGGGTAGAACACAGTCTTAATCCACTATTAGGGCATTATAAGAAATATATCAAAATTATAAAAATTAAGCAAATTATTTTAAACATTACATAAAAATGATAAGCTGTGTCTATGAGAACAATGAAATGTATTCATGTTGCCACCACAGGTAAATTTTGGGTTTATCTTTCTCATTACATATAAATGTGATTTTTCATTTCTTTTAGCTCATCTGAAAATGCTTAAAAATATTTATGTATCAGTTTTACTTAAAAATAACACATATTGGGGCAGTTACTTGCCTAGCAGTTAAGATGCATGTGTCTTACATGGGAGTGCCTGGGTTAAATTCACAGCTCCAACTTTGACTTCAGCTTCCTGCTAACACATACAAGCGAGGCAGCAGGAATGGTCAATTAGTTGAGCTCCTGTCACCCATGTGGGACACCTGGATTACATTTCTGCATCCTGACTTCGGCCCTGGCCCAGCTCTAGCAACTGCCAGAATCTGGGGAATGAATCAGCAGATGGAAGCTCTTTCTCACTGCTTCTCAAATTAAAACACACACACACACACACAATTAAATAAAAATTACACTTAGAGTTTCATTTGCCCACTTTTTTTCAAACACACAATCCCTATTCTTGAGCTCCCCAGATGTATGGAGGGGTTGTGGTAGACAGAAAAACAGCCTCCTAAATATGAGGACCTCATTGTAACCCCTAGGACCTGGACATGTGGTACTAAACAAAACAGATAGTCTCTATCCTCAAGGACCCTACATTCTATTTGGAGGAACCAGATGGCAAACAAAATAAATAAATAAATTGTAGGTGGTATTAAATGCTCTGAATAAAAATAAAGCAATGTAAAAAGAGTGTATATAGGCCGGCACCTCGGCTCACTTGGCTAATCCTCCGCCTGCAGCGCCAGTACTCCGGGTTCTAGTCCCGGTCAGGGCGCCGGATTCTGTCCTAGTTGCTCCTCTTACAGTCCAGCTCTCTGCTATGGCCCGAGAGTGCAGTGGAGGATGGCCCAAGTGCTTGGGCCCTGCACCCGCATGGGAGACCAAGAGGAAGCACCAGGCTCCTGATTGGCACAGCACGCTGGCCGTAGCGGCCATTTGGGGGGTGAACCAATGGAAGGAAGACCTTTCTCTTTGTCTCTCTAACTTTGCCTGTCAAAAAAGAGTGTGTGTGTGTATGTATGTGTGTGTGTGTGTGTGTATATATATATATATATGGAAGATGTAGAATAAAAATAAGACAAAAGGATGAGGGTTAGAAAAATGTCTTCATTAATACTGTGTTCAACTTTTCTTAAAATCAACCAGGGCTTATTCTTGTTAAACAGAAGGTTTCTTTGCAACAATTTATTCAAGTTTATTCAATTATATAACAATAACACAAATGAAATTTTCAAAACAAAAATCATTTTCAGGTTTCTGAATTACTATAGTACCATTATAATAGAAAGAAAGTTGGCTAATTGGCTAATCTCAGTCAATAAATATCAATCATAGTTACACTACTGGAGTATTTTAAGATTTTGTAGATTTTGGATGCCCTGAGACTTGAGTGGTTATAGGACTTCGTGTAAAACTTTATGCCTCTTTCAATATTAGACTTTATGTGGTTCAATGATATAACAAATCATTTTCCAGGTGTAATTCATTAAGCACAGTAACTATCAGGAAGTAGCAAAGAAAGCACAGAAAATTTAATTATTGCTGAATTTAAGGGAAATCCACATTTTAAAAATTACTTTTATATGATATAGTTAACATAGTAAGACAGTGTTATAAACTCACTTTGAAGTATTTCGAGTTCAGTTTTAGTCAGTGCATCTTCCTTTTCTTTCAATCTCGTTTCTTTATATTTAGCATAAAACTGCCCAGCATCCTTAAAAAAGAAGTTATAAGTAAATTAACATAAAATTCAGCTTGCATTGATAGAATTTTCCATTCAACTTCATTTTAAAGCAGTATATTTAATTTATAATTAGCCTTTTTATGTTTTCAAATTTTATGATGAACAAAAGAAACTGAATAAACAATTCTTGGTTATTTTTCTCTCTTGGCTAAGGCTAGAAACCACAGGAGTATAAATGTAAGAAGTTCTTATCTCTCAGAAATGGAAAGGGGGCATCCTCTTCCTGTTTTCTTCTATCACATTATACCTTCTGAATATTATACTAGATCTTGGACAGAGCCAAGGAAAATTCACTGCTGAACCAAATTATTTGACCCAGTAATTTACATGATTGTGATTAACATAGACTAACACTATTTTCATATTATTCCCTAACTCCAAAAATTTTCAAAATTATAACACGCAAATCTGATTACAAAACTTATAAGACCATGCAGGCAGATATGAAAGTTGTCACTTCTGCTTTCACCACCCACAGAAACTAGTATAAAACAATTACCATGGAGGGCAGACGATTGAGGACACACAGTATACATAAACAGTAGATGTCAGGACACAGTGGCTGTGGCTAGCATTGTGACACAGTGGGTTAAGCCACTGATTGCAATGCTAGCATACCATATAGGAGCGTAGGTTCAAGTTATGGCTGTTCTGCTTTTAATCCAGCTCCCTACTAACATGCCTGGGAAGGCGTAGGAAATTGGCTTAAGCATGTGGGCCCCAGCCTCCCACATGCGAGATCCAGATGGAATCCCTGACTCTTAGCCTTAGCCTGGCCCAGCCCTGATTGTGTGGCCGTTTGGGGAGTGAACCAGAGGATGGATGATCTCCTTCTTTCTCACTGTTGCTCTGCCTTTGAAACAAAGAAAGGAATCTTTAAAAAAAAAAAAAAAAAAAGACATAGCAACTGAAATCTCAGTGAGTGGTACACAGGTAAGACTTCAGCAGGGTACCAAAAATAAATAATAACTAAAGACAAAAAGAAAACTAGGCCTTAAATAATCACAGACATGAAAATAAACCAGTTGTCTCTTTAGGCATATGATGATTCTGACAATGAGGAAAAAAGCAAACCAGATCTTTCTCACACTCCTTGATTCAAACTTTGACTATTTCACAATGACCTACTTGTAGGTGCCAGGCCACACTGTGCTTCCAAGTCTAAAGGCCACTCTGTGCTTTCATGTCTTTGCATTTACTTGCCCTCAAGTTACAACGTTTGCTTTTGCCATTATTCTGAAAAACTCTTACTCTTCCTTGAAAACCCTGTTCAACCATCATTCCCTGAGCACGTCTTTCTGACTTTCTTTAGCAGAGACATTCTCTCCCAAATACTACTTCTGTACTTAAATACTTTCACACTTGCATGCATTATGCTACATTCACTCCAAAAAGATGAGATATTTCAGGTAAGGATGCTTATAAGCCCAATGCAAGTACCTGGCATAAAGCAGGCACTCAGTAAGTGTTGAAATAACTGAATTAGAGTGAAATATATGATGAACCTTCCAAAGAATGAAAGGGCTTGATGACCGACTTGTTTGGAATAAGAAGAGGGGTATCAAGGATAACTCTAGGTTAACATTCTCAGGATGTAATGTTCCTAGAGCAAGTAAGTCATAGACCTGTCTGAGAGAGTTTTGTTTCTACAGGAAACAAGGGAATAAAACTGAAATCTTTGACATTACTCAGACTAGATATAAATACATGAACACTGAAACTGTAGAATGCAATTATTTTTTTTTTTTCCAATCGATGACTGGCTGTGTCCAAGTTAAAGCTTTCTCCTGAGATTTATCCCTCTTGAGGTTATATCCGAACTCTTCTCTGATAAAAAACTGGAAATGAGGTAGTCCTAAAATTACTGGATCAAAAAAACAAAGATGTACCTTTTATTTTTTTATTTCAACTTTTATGTTCTGACCTTATTTCTGCAAGCCTAGGCCAACTAAACAACGGTATAATCTGAAGAGCATAGATGGCCATGCTCCTGACTTACTCAATCTCCCATGCCCATATGTACTTTAAACTTCAACAGGGTTTGATGCTAAGGTTATTTATGGTCTCTTAACATTCCCCTCTCTGCCTTAGAAAAAAAAAACACTCAAGCCTAGGAATGTTATTTTATATTGAGCCATATAAGTCATTTATATCTTGGCATGAATGAATGAAATTAGCTTTTTATCTACAGAGTAGGATTTACTTACTTGTTTGAAAGAGAGGGAGAGGAAGGGAGAAGGGGAGAGAGGGAGACAGGGGGAGAGAGGGGGAAAGAAGGGGAGAGAGAGAGAGATTGAGCTCCCACCTACTGGTTTACTCCCCAAATGTTCACAAATGCCAGGGCTAGGGCAGGCCAGTCAGGAGCACAGAATTCAATCCAAGTCTCTCATGTGGGTGGCAAGGACCCAAATATTTGAGCCATCCTATGTTGTCTCCCAGGTTAAATCAGCAGGAAGCTGGAACTTGAACCCAGGTACCCTGACAAGGGATGTAGGTATCCCAAACAGTGTCTGAACTGCTCTGCCAAACACTAACAGTATGGAAGAAAAGGCCAGGAAGGCATTGGCTCCATGAGGGGAGCAGGAACTGTGGTACCATATAAACCATGAAGGATACAGATTATTTCTGAGAAGTGAAAGAAGGCACACTGATTTAATCATTGTACAGTACAGTGAAATGTAACCTACCTATAAAAAAGACAGGTGTTGAGGTGGCTCCAAGATAGTAGAGTAGGGAGGGAGCTTACTGCTCTAACCCAGGAGAAGATAGTTTTAAAAAAGTGGAGGGAGAGAGTGTCGTCTCAAAGAATATTTAGGGAGAAAATGGCAAAAGAAATGCTATCGAAATTAGAGGGATATGGTGGACCCACGTGGAGGGTGTGGGTGCCCACGACTTGGGACTCTAGTAGCTGACAGCCTATGTACCAGCGTTGGAAAGTGAGATGAGACCAGACTGCTGCAGCCCAAGCCACTGGTGAAAAAGCTGCAGGAAGAGCCTGGAGGTAAACCAGCTTGGAACACCATGGGCGATAGTGTACCAGCCAAGTTAGAGAAAAAAAAAAAGAAACCAAAAACCAAAAAAAAAAAAAGGACAGGATGGACACGTTTCTCTCTCCACTATCACTTTGCAACAGCGTCCTGTGACAAGCCAATACAGCAGGCCCCATTTTTGACACATGTAACAGCTGCACCAGCTTGTGTCCGTGCTCAGCAACCAGCTGAGCGGAGACTCCTGACACTGGAGGGGAGAACTAACGGAGCTAGAAGCTTGTGCCTGGGTAAGGCTTCTGTACTGGGACTGTGAAGAAAAGTGAGGGTGTGTGGGAGAACTCACTGGGACTTTGAGCAATCTCAGTGGGAGACTCCACATGCTTGAAGTTTCCTCATTACATGGTAAGAGACATTGCTGGAGAAACTGAACTTACACTGAGGACTGCACAGATCCTTTGTGTGGTCCTTGGGACAGAGCAGATGAGTATCATACCCACTGGGGCTAGTGCTCAGGCACTGGTCTGCTTTGAGGAGAGGAGCTCAGCTGAGAAGAATAAATTTCCCTTCTGATTAATAAAAAGAAGATTTACCATGCCACACCTGGATGTGTCACCTTAGGCATGCCCTTAACCCCAGAGAACTGAACAGAGATCTCTAGCCACGCCTACTACAAGCCTCTAGATATTCACCAAAAGGAGACATTCCACTTATCTACAGAGTTACAGTACAAAGATAAAAGCTGCCACAACAACAACAAAAAAGAAGCAGCAGCCAACGAGTCTCTCCACAAATGCCAAACAACAAATGCACCAATTCAAGAAATAAGAGGGGCTGGCGCTGTGACACAGCTGGTTAACGCCCTGGCCTGAAGCGCCGGCATCCTATATGGGTGCCAGTTAAAGTCTCGGCTGCTCCACTTCCGATCCAGCTCTCTGCTATGGCCTGGGAAAGCAGTGAAAGATGGCCCAAGTCCTTGGGCCCCTGCACCTGCATGGGAGACCCGGAAGAACCTCCTGGCTCCTGGCTTCGGATCAGTGCAGCTCCGGCTGTTGCGGCCAATTGGGGAGTGAACCAGCAGACAGAAAACCTCTCTCTCACTCTCCCTCTGCCTTTCCTCTCTCTGTGTAACTCTTTCAAATAAATAAATAAATCTTAAAAAAAAAAAAAAGAATAAGGAAGACAACATGATGTCCCCAGAAGAACATGACACTTCAATACTAGATTGTGAAGATGATGAGATGGAAGAAATCCAAGAATTGGAATTCAAAAAATTAATCATAAGATTGCATAGAAGTAATCAGAAGCAAATGCACAAACCATTGAAATCTGTACAGGACATCAAAGAAAATTTCTCCCATGAAATTGAGATCTTAAGAAATCCAGGCCGGCGCCGCAGCTCACTAGGCTAATCCTCCGCCTTGTGGCGCCGGCACATCGGGTTCTAGTCCCAGTCAGGGTGCCAGATCCTGTCCCGGTTGCCCCTCTTCCAGGCCAGCTCTCTGCTGTGGCCAGGGAGTGCAGTGGAGGATGGCCCAAGTACTTGGGCCCTGAACCCCATGGGAGACCAGGATAAGTACCTGGCTCCTGGCTTTGGATCAGCGCGGTGCGCCAGCCGCAGCGCACCGGCCATTGGAGGGTGAACCAACGGCAAAAGGAAGACCTTTCTCTGTCTCTCTTTCACTGTCCACTCTGCCTGTCAAAAAAAATGAAATTAACAATTCAATATAACAAACAAAAAATGCAGTGGAGAGCCTTAAAAACAGAATCGGTGAAGAAAGAATACTGGACTAAGAAGACAAAGCACAGGAAATTACACAGTCAGACCCAACACAAGAAGAAAAAATTGGAAAACTGAAAAACACTGTTGGAATCTACAGGATACTATAAAAAGACCCAAACTATGGGTTCCAGGAGTTGCTGAAGGCATGAAAAGAGAGAAAGGATTAGAAGGGCTTTCTAGTGACATAACAACACAAAACT